TTAAAAATGGTGCTCATACTGATATTGTTGTTTATAATATTCTCATAAAGAAGGTAGAACGGGCAAAACTAATATGGCAGTGAACAGAACTAACGTAAGAGATAACAGAACTACCATAAAAGCGGGTAGAACTAACGTAAGAGATGACAAAACTAACATGAAAGCTGGTAGAACTAACAGTCCAGTCCTTAAAACTAACAGTCCAGCCTTTAGAACTAACAGTTCAGCCATTAGAACTAACATTCTAGCCCTTAGAACTAACAGTTTAGCCCTTAGAACTAACATTCATAGTTCTAATTTTCCTTGTCCCCTCTTTCAAATTCACAGGTTCTTAGATTCTTTAGTCGACTTTTAATCACATTATCTTTAATTTTTAGCTAAATGTCGACATGCCTGAAGATTCAATGTGAGCTTTTAAAAATTTCTGCCGTTAATCTCTTATACAGAACTCTGTTAATCACCAAATCTCACAAGAAAAAAGCAATAAAGGAAAACCCAAACCACTGTTTAAGAATCCAAGAAGATCCCATTTCAATTAAATGAAAGAGAAAAACTACAAAAACCCAATATTGATTCCCTTCATAAATTACAAGAAAACAAGAGCACTATTTTGATTAAGACATTGATTTGGGTAAAGATATTCCGTAACTTAGAAAGGGGAGAACAACGATGCATCGGACCAAAGCTCCAGGCTCCGTCAGCTCGTGGGTCCCACTGGACCATCTTCCGTGTTTGTCGTTGAACCCACGTTCACGAACTATTTCTAAGATGACTCCCCGACCTCCGACTCCATGACCACCGTCCTCGCCTTCGCCTTCCATGACCTCCCCAGGGTATGATCATTTTCAGTGGCTATGACGAAAGTGAGAGAGAAGGAGAAGTTGAGAGATAGAGGAGAGAGAGAGAGAGAGAGAGAGAGAGAGAGAGAGAGATGGGATGAGGTTAAAGAGATGGGCGCAGTTACCAAGCTCAATCAAATCAAAGGGTAAATTTGTAACTTTTGTTGGGCTTTTCTCATGATCCGATACTTTGGGGCCTTAACACAAATACAGTGTGTATTTGGGGCTTATACACATGGGTCAGAATACAAGGGGGCGGGTCACATGAACTTTCTACTTTTGGGACCTGGACACATTTTTCCCTAAACAAAAATCACAAGTTGTGATCTCAACATGTAAAAAGTGTTAAGTTTTATAACATTAATGAATATATATATTCGGTGCGTTGTATATCGGTATACGCTCATAACAAATTTATGATTTGATATTTCTTTTTGACGTAATTTAATCGTAGATTTTTAACATAACTAGTATTGTGTACGGGCGTTGCAAGTAGACACACTTGTTGATCAATTTTTTTGGAATTCTTTTGGTTCTATTAGGTTAGAAAGTGAATAGTTATTAAGATATTATAGTAATTAATAAAGAATTAATATTTATTCAATGAAATGAGACTTAATGCATAAAGATTAAATGAGTATATTTGTAGGAGGTTATGAAGAAGTTATTTTTATCGAAAACAATAACTCTCGGCATAGAAAATTCGCTTACACATGTTTCTATTATAAAATATAAACTACTTGTAAAGAAAGAAGCTCAAGTACATTTACATGAGAGACGGGGATGTCATTTTGAAATTATCTTTCTAGAATTTATTAAACCTCCTCTAGTTTATTATTAGCTCTTAGAGTCCCCCAATTTTTATATTTGATACTTGCAACACATATCTCTAAAATTACATTTCAAGGATATTAAGTGCTAGTATATTGAGGAGGATTTAGTGCAACTCAAGATATAGAAGAGGGAATTATGTATATTTTTTTCCCATTTGTTATAATAATGCAATTTACATATGATTAATGGAGAAATGTGTAACCCTTCATGAATGAGTTCCTTATTGAAGGGGGGTTAAGAAGACAGTGGAATAATAAAAAGTTGACAACTTTTCATATTATTGTGATGTTATATTATTTATTTATTTGAATTTGTAAATAAATAACTTTTATTCATATTATATTTGATAACTGCACATATTTAATAATTCATATAAATATTATATATTAATGTGATATCAATATATATTATAATTATCATACATTAACTATTATACTCAAATAGTAGATTAATACCAGAAAATTAATAATTAATAGCAGAAATTGTTAATACTCTTAAAATTGTAGTAGTAATCCATTCTATAAGCATCATTAGGACCAACTAACTATATCATTTTCTAAATTGATCTTTCTGCACTTTCTATTTTCCATTTATAACCCAATAATATCAATGTATTACCTTAGTGACCATAGAATGAAAATTAACCCTTTGCACATATTGAGTAAAAGCAATTACACTTATAATGCATTGTCATGAACAAAGTTTTCTTTATTCCGAGAATAAGCATAAAGCATTAAGAGATTCAACCATACTATACAAACAATTTAGCATATTTACAAACATGCCTAGGAGTTGGAAACCAATTTACATGCTAAGGAAATTTAGCATATTTACAAACATGCCTAGGAGTTGGAAACCAATTTACATGCTAAGGAAAAAACATATACGAAGATGGAAGGGGGACATGCCTAGGAGTTGGAAACCAATTTACATGCTAAGGAAAAAACATATACGAAGATGGAAGGGGGAAAACCAATAAGTTTATGACTGAAATAGCTGCAGATTTTGATAAAAATACAGAACCATTTCTTTGTTGCCTTCACCGATTTTTTCTCTGCTCTCTAAATTGTTACATTGATGCTTCCATTACCATCTCCTCATTCAATTCGATCGTACTCCACCAGTGATGTTACCATTGACACACTCACACTTCTTGCGGTTTGTAAGTGCTGTAGTTGTGTCTCCTTACTTTTCAACATGAATAAATTTGATTAAGAGTTAGAATTTTGGTTAGAAAAATTTGATAAGATTCTATAGTAATTTATAGTGATTTATGGAAGAGGAATAGTTGTAACGATTTTCATTATTAGTGTGTAATGTGAAGACTTAGTGGGGGAATGTTATAATAGTAATTTATAGTGATTTATGAAAGATGAATAGTTGTAACGTTTTTCATTATTAATGTGTAATGTCAAGACTTGGTGGGGGAATATTATTAGTGGGTGGTTAAATGAATATTTGATGCTAATAAATAGGGAGGTTATGAAAAATTAAGTATGTACATATCTTAATGTATGCATGTATGGATGTGTTAGAGATGTATGCATGTATGTGTTTCGGAGGGTATTATTGAAAGAAATATTTTAACATGGCAACACACTTTTATAATAGTATTAGATTAGATATTAGATTTACTCAGTCTATCATGATAAACTTATTATCAATCAAACGACCTAAAATAAGATAGACTTGTCGAAGATCAATATCAAAATTCGTTAGATTTGATTTTTTTTAGGAATGTGTATATGTGTAGACAAATTTATAGTCCGGAGGAACAATAGAGAGTCAATACAAAAAGGGTGGATTTGATTCAACCCACAACTCTAATGAATACTGTTTTAATTTTTCATACGATAGAACAAAATTCCTTTTCCCTTTTCTTTATTTTTCACTAAAAAAGATGAAGAGGTTGGAAGTGATGCAATAAGGATCAAAATGCATCTCATACCCATATATGCATAGATATGGTTTTTGGTACTCCTTCATTTGTTTAATTTGCATTGAAATAAAGCTACAAAAATAAATACTTCAATGACTTTTATGTTTCACTTGTTTGACTTGCAACATTTTAATTACAAATATAAATGAAGTTATAATTTAAAAAAAAAAGTGCAGCAAATTTTGCAATAATAAATATTACATAGAGCTTTCGTTGAAGGAAATCAGCTTCAATTCCATGAAGAGTTGAGAAAAAGTGGTGCAAATACTATATAATTTCATGTAAATTTCATAAATTAGTTATTTGATGATGCGACAGTTCCCTTATACTTTTTTTTATTTATACTTTTCAAATGTGCAACTTTTCTTTCATCTAATTAGCTACAACATTTGTCGCAAACTGTTTTCTACAAAATTAAAATGCCATCGGGTTTTCTAGTTACAATTTAGCAAACCGAATAACGGGAGGTGAGTTGACAGCGTAGGAAATTTCCGAATAATAGATTTGAAAATTAGCTCCGCCCCTCCCCCCTCAATAAATGTTGCAACAGCTTTTGCTGCATTTTCCATAGTTGCGGCATCAAAATTCAGTTCGAGCCAACAATCCGCAAATCAAACAGCAATTTAGCACAACTACCCCCACACCCTTCCCCCGCTTCTCCCCCTCTCATCAGTCTCTCTTCACAATAGCAACAAACTAGTTTAAGGAAAAAAAAGGAAAAAAAAAATCCCCACAAAAAAGCCATCCATTTCTCATTCGTATATACTATATAAAACCAAAAAAAGCCACTCCTCTCTCCTCTCTTTTATATTCATCCATCATCCCTTCAGCTCTTCCTCGTCTCTCTCCCCAAAAGCTTTAAAAATCACAATAATCCAAACGCAATCCAGAGCCCAATCGGCGAAAGGAGGCCTCGCGCATAGCCACGGGCGATCAGTCGCCCGTCGCCATCAGCTCGGTCAATGCAGCTCTCCGGTCCCCACCGCCCGTCTCCGCTGCGCCGCCGCCCCAGACCTCTCTCCCTCCCCTTCCTCGCAGCGCGACCCGCTCCTCGCCGTCCGCGCCTCCCCCTGAACCCGGCCGCCTCCTCCGCTTCGGCCGGCTCGCACTCCCCCCACCGCCTCCTCCAGCCTTCCTCCACCCGCCGCCCTCTTTCCACGGACGCTCCACCGCGTCCGCCGCCTCGGCTCGGCTCGCGGCGGCACACGCGTCTCGCTTCGTCCGCACACCGCAGCCCACCAACCGCCCCGTACGCCCTCACAGCGTCATCTACCGGCAACCACTGAGGAACTCCGTCCGCCGCCAGATCTGCCGCGAGATCGAGATTCATCGCGCACCGCCGATCAACTCCGTTCGTCGTCGCTGCCCACGTCCATGTTCGAACCACGGCCGGCCGAGATGCCAGCATCCTCACTCGAGTACCATGGACGGCGGCTCCCTCGAGAAGCCAAGCCGCATCGAGAGCGAGCCCTTCCTCTCCCACGTCGCCGGCCAGGTCCTCCAGGGCCTCGCCTACCTCCACAGCCGGAAGATCGTCCACCGCGACATCAAGCCGTCCAACCTCCTCATCAACAGCCAGAAGCAGGTCAAGATCGCTGACTTCGGGGTCGGGAGGATCCTGGCCCAGACCATGGATCCTTGCAATTCCTCGGTGGGCACCGTCTCCTACATGAGCCCCGAGAGGATCAACACGGATCTCAATGACGGGGCTTACAACGGGTACGCCGACGACATCTGGAGCTTCGGGCTGAGCGTGCTCGAGTTCTACCTGGGCAAGTTCCCCTTTGGGGAGAACTTGAGAGGGCAGGGGGACTGGGCCAGCTTGATGTGCGCCATCTGCTTCTCGAACCCGCCGCAGGCGCCGGCGACTGCTTCGAGGGAGTTCAGGAGTTTCATTGCCTGCTGCCTGCAGAAGGAGCCCGATAGGAGATTGAGCGCCGTGCAGCTGCTTCAGCACCCGTTCATCACGAGGTCGACTCAGACGTCGGGATCGACGTCGGTCTAGAATCGCGAGGTTGATGGCGGATGGCGAGCGATGGAAGGTTTGGTTTTGACGTTTCATTGTTGTTGTTTGTTGTTTGTTGTTTGTTTTACTTACAAATGGTTAATGAATGTGATGGTATTAGATTATTTGGCTGGCTTGCTTGCTTGAGATGTTGAAAACCCAGCCGGGGATTCGACGGTGGAAGGAGGAGGATTGAGGAGGAAATTTGGTATAAAACCTGTTTTTATAATTGAAATTAGACGCGGCCCCATTTGTCCCCTTTCCCTGAATAATGATATTTATGGGCTCTGTTCCTCTTTTACTGTTCTTCCTCTTTTATATGTTTTTTTTTTTTT